GAATATCCCATCGAAGAAAACACCGTCTCTGAGCTGTGTCGTGCACTCCTCATGAGAAGCATGGGTTTGGAGGAAGAGTAAGTGCTTCATTAATGCGATTTTAGCTATGAGAAAATTTAACCTTTTTATCTCATAGAAGCAATTATGCTGATGATGAACAAAACGCACAAGATGAGGACGCCGATGAAAATGCAGTGGAAAGTGAAAGAGGAACACCTGGAACTCTTGATGTCTCACAGATCGACGTCGTAAGTTCTCTTCATAGCCGACTGTGATTTGTACTACTGAGAATGTTTGCAGGATGTTTGTCAGACGCTTCTTGATCGTTTTGCGCCGGACAAAGAAATCTGGGAACTAACGCCGGAGGACCAGCTAGGTGTACTAAACCTTGTGCTCAATCGTGTTTTGGAACTGGGGTCTTTCAAGGTATAGTGGTTTTGCACTAATCCTTGTCAGGGCACGGCACAGGTGGCTTGAAAGCAAGCTGGATATCGGTTTTGGGACGAAAAGCAAACGGGGTTTAGTTTTGGCCGAAAAGATACAAGAAAGACAAATTCTAATGAAAAAAAAATAAGATTTTCCATGAAATTTTGCCAACAAGGGGATTTTGTTTTTTCCATTTTCGGAGAGCCACCTCGTGCTGAGCCTTGGTCTTTATTCACCATAGTTATCGTCATTCGTATATGGTGTTGATTTAGGAGTACATTAGTGATCAGGGAGACACAGGCCCAGTACAGACCTTGAAGGGTAAAATCAGCAAAATCAATGAGCAGGTAAGCACACGTCCTCAAGTCTCCATTTTCGAATTATTGATTCCTTTTTTGTGTTTCTCTCTCATATGTTCAGTTTCAAGGTCAACTCATGGCAAGAAGAACTGTCGAAAATTCCTGAAATCGAGGAAGTTGCTGACATAGCTCAACTTTCTCGATCTCAAGCTCGCGAAAGAGTTGAACTGCAAAAGAAACGAGATACTCTGGAAGGGAAGATTGAGGACAGCAAGAACAAACTCGAGGAGTTACTGGAAAAATTAGCGCTTGAAAAAGTGATGAAAAGTCAATCACGGCGTATTGCTCCCATGGGTCAAGACCGCCATTTTCGTAACTACTATTGGTTTCACGGAAACACTGGCGATGATGGAGTTTGGATCCAAGATGTGGGTATACACGCGCATCTTCTAGTTCAATCTTATTTCTAAAAGAAATCCATTTTCAGTTTGGAACCACCTCATATGAAAAGTTTGTACGTGCCTGTATCAAAGCAGGTAAACCCTTCGACCAGGAGGTAGAACAGCAAGCTGCACCAGCTATGGGTGAAAATCCAAACTCTGCAGATGTTTCAATTTCTTCAGCA